AATAATATATTTTTCACCATGTAACAATAATAATTTTTTCGTTTTAAGTTAATAATTTTTTTTGTTTCATTTTTGTTTTTTCTGTTTATTCTTTTATTTTTCTTTTTCTGTTTATTTTTTATCTATTTTATAGATAAAAAACACACACAATAATTGTTGTTGGAATTTGAATTAAAAAAAGGGCGCAGATAATATTGTTTTTAAAACATTTTCCGCACATGTACAAATAATAGACAGATTGAACTGTTATCAACTTCTAAATTTTCGGAGGAACCTCTATATCCGGTTGTCGGGCAAGCAAAGGGAAAGGAAGGAATATCAAAGACTGCTTTGTTAGGACTAACGCGATACACGAGTGCCACTTTGTTGCACGACGCAGAAGTAGATGATATAAAATATTGTTACTTTCATTATTTTCTGTATATATGTATATTATATATATTTTTTATATTTTCTATATTTTCTTTTTAATATAATTTTAAAAATCTAGTTCTTAAAAATCCCTAAAAATTTTAGTTTTATGTCGGAACATATAACAACAAAAATGTTTGAAATTCTTTTATTAAAATTATAAAGATTAAAAATTACATGTGAGACATTTTTTTATAAACATACAAAACTAAAAAATTTATTATATAATATTATATACAAACATATAACGAAAATTTACAAGAATATAATGAAACACTATAATATAATAATACACTTTTGCATTTTTTAAAATGTTAATAAAAATTATACAATTATATAATAATTAATTTGTGTTAAATGTTTGTAAATACTTGAATTACTTTGATTCAATTTTTGAATTCGGAATAAAATTTTTATTTATATCCATTTAATTTAATTAAGAAATAATAATTTTATTGTGTACTATTAATATATACCGTGAAAATTCTACAATATTATTTTATATATATGAATATATTCTTTTATTTATATGAATATATTCTTTTCGATGTAATATTTATCGGAAAATTCAAATAGATTAAATATTATAAAATTCCGTATAAAATAATTTTTTTCGTACACTCGACGTAAAATTAAAATTTTCGTTCTAAGCGCATGATTTCTTCCATTCTTCTCTTCGTGCAACAATGTGCCGGCATAGTCCAGAGTAGTAGTCTGTGGTCGTTATGAGACGAGCGTTTTTCTCTGTGAAGATCGGTGAACCCGCATGTGGAAGATACAAAGTTGCTTGGGTCCCATTACATTATAGCGTTCCCTACAGACCACATCGAGAACCGTAATCGTGTCTACATTTCCCATTAGATTGCTAGAACCACAACTAAGTAGCTACAGAGAGATATTGGTCTACGCAGCTATTAATAAAGGCGGCGAAAAATAAGGGACAATATTTCACGATAGTATGACAGGATTGGTAGATATGTGCTATTAAAAAAACAACATTCTCGTCTCATGGTAGTTTCTTAAAATGATGACCTTTACAAAGTTGCATCAGATCATTATTCATTTAAATACAGTTTATTATAGATAAAATGAACGGAAAGAAAATACAAAATCGATCTTTGGGAGTAAAAAATTAAAGTAATTATTAAATTATAATTTATATGTTTTATATGAATAAAGTTGAAATTTTATCTAATTAACATACATATATTTCTTTTGTATTTTTTATATGAATTTAATTGCTTTACATCTAATGCTTTAAAATTAAGAAGTAGAAATTGTGAAAAGAAGTACATTTTTGTGTCGCCTAGTATATCACATTGTAGCATCAGCTGCTGGATGCCATTGCTTGTTAGCAGAGTACCCCACCAGAGATCTACGCATACGTCATCAGCTTGAATTGCTGGGGATATTATTGATATAGGCAAGAGCCACCAGTACAATGTTGTGCCTTAAGAATGAAAAAAAAAATACATTATTTTTGCACATATTTGTATTTTCCCAATTGTATATTTTTTATTTTTGTTAATTTATCGTTTAAATTTAATATTATTTTAAATTTATTATTTAAATTAATTATTTATTATTTATTAAATAGAAAAATAACATTAATGGTTTTATTTATGAGATATTATATTACGAGAGCTTGACATTAATTTTTCATTGAAATTAATTATTCGTATAAATTTATTATATAATGTGTAAAAAAAGAATTTTTCAGATATATATTTATATTGCCATTTTGTGCGTGAGCTACATTGTTTCATAAAATTGTAGAAAGATGCATTAAGACAATTAGTTTCCAATCGATCTATATTCTTAGTTCGATTCTCCCTTTGGAATTTAAGAAATTGGTAGACTATATTTATATTAAAACAATGCCACATACTATAGTTTTTTTCGAAGGCAATGGTGTTATGTGGTAATAGTTCTCGGAAAAGCTAAGATGGCGTGGGGAATGCCTCAAGCCAGTTTCTACATTGTGTGTTTAGGGTCCCATCTGAATCCCAAGCATCACGAATCCGACGAGGGAGAAAAACGATAGGAAATATTCCTTTTCCCATTTCTAATTTAACTGCGTCTTTTTGAAAAAAATTCGCCCAAAAATTTTCTTTATTTCTTTCAAACTAAAATTGCAAAAAATGATTATTAAAATCAACGAGTAGAACAATTATCATGCGTAAAAAATATATGCAGTATTGTGTCGAAATAAATTTCAACTTTTTCACATTATAAAAGAGACAGACATGACCTTATTGTTGACGTCAATATATCGATGATAACAGCATTATTATAAATTTCAATTACTTTTTTAATAAAATGTTTACATTTTTAATAAAAGAAATATTTATTTTTTATAACAGTAAAAAAATTGAAATTTGTCTTCAATGTTGCATAAATTTTTTTACGTATGACAATTACACAGAGAAAAATATCATTCTACTATCAAGAAAAGCGATTACTCAATTTATTTTTCTTTTTTTAAGTAATAGTTTTCTTCAAGAAAGAATATTCTTGATAATAATTTTAAATTATACTCATCACAAGTATGTAAATTTTTAATAAAAGAAATATTTATTTTTTATAACAGTAAAAAAATTGAAATTTGTCTTCAATGTTGCATAAATTTTTTTACGTATGACAATTACACAGAGAAAAATATCATTCTACTGCCAAGAAAAGCGATTACTCAATTTATTTTTCTTTTTTTAAGTAATAGTTTTCTTCAAGAAAGAATTCTTGATAATAATCTTAAATTATACTCATCACAAGTGTTAGAAAATCTCATTATCATGTACTCAAAAGAGGAAATTATTTTCTCTTCAAGAATATTGTAAAGTTGTATCAAAGAAAAATCAAACTTACTTTACGTCAACTCTTGTAGTAAGCAAACCAAATTTTTGTTTTAATTTAATATTCTTGACTAAAATACTGCACTTACTAAAATTCAAAACATATTCAATTAAATTTAATGCTGTGGTGAACTTATAATATATTTGCAGATATACAAACTTATGATATATTTAAAATAAATAATATTTACTTGAATACAGTATACATTTTTCTCTGTGTATGTTTGCTTATTAGCGAAATGCAATGACACGGTAGCAAAACTAAATAAATAACATGACAATCACATAAGAACACAATAATTGACAATATTCTTAACTTTATTGCTCTAATAATTAAAAAATTTAAATTTAAATTTTATACATATATAAAATTATTATTATTATTATTAAATTTGAGTGCTATTTAAATATTGTGAACATTTGTGATTTTAATATAATTTAATTTATTAATATAATTTCTTATTTTTTTGAATATCGTGAATATTTGTAATTTTAATATAATTTAATATAATTTAATTTTTTAATAAAATTTCTGATTTCTAGATGTTATCTTTTTGTTATGTTTCTTAATATTTGTTATTTCTGCAATCGCGTTTTTTCTTATTAAAATTACAAGTTGAAATCCACTAATATCAGTGAGTTCACAGGAGAAGAAATGCACGCGCTTGCGTTTCTCTCGTATCATTCACCTTCATGCAAATCTTCAGCCTGTAAGTTACGTGATAGACCTGCTTATCAAAGTTCTAAGAAAGGCTTCAAAAGTATCGGCTGCCGCTGAATCGTTGCCAGTTCGTCAACTTCATAATCGTACTTTGTATAAAATGCCATTTATACGTATATATTTATTTATATGCGATAACACTAGCAATTTAAAAAATTTATAATTTATAAAAAATCTATTCATATATGTATTCAATATCTGCATAATTTTTAATAAATAGAAATATGAAAGATAAGATAGATTTGTAAAATTAAATCTTTAGAATTAACTTTAAAATAATTTTATAAAAAAGACAATATTTTTTTCTTATCACAATTTTATGGAAATGAATCTTTTTTAATCTACTAGGGTGTTACACTCATATATGTGTGATTTATCCACATCGTGAAAAAAATCGAAAAAATTTATAAGCGTATATTCCTAAGATTAAGAAAAATATATTCCAAAAAATGGAGACCTTTTATATCAAGTTATTAATTATATTAAGTTTTATATACTCTGCTTATTCTTCTTTTATTACTTTTTATACAATTATATAATTTGTAATTTTAATATGTTTTTATAATTAACATAATTTGTAATTAATATGTTTTTACAATATTTTTTTCTTATCACAATTTTATGGAAATGAATCTTTTTTAATCTACTAGAGTGTTACACTCATATATGTGTGATTTATACACATCGTGAAAAAAATCGAAAAAATTTATAAGCGTATATTCCTAAAATTAAGAAAAATATATTCCAAAAAATGGAGACCTTTTATATCAAGTTATTAATTATATTAAGTTTTATTTACTCTGCTTATTCTGCTTTTATTACTTTTTATATAATTTGTAATTTTAATGTTTTTATATTTTATTTAATTTTATATTAATTTAATTTAATTTTATATTAATATTATAATTAATATAATTTGTAATTAATATGTTTTTATATAATTATTATGTAATTATATATTACTTCAACTTTTTACTTTATTTTTCTTTTAACAAGAGATTTCTTTCTCGTTTTAGGCTAGTCGTACCCTCGCAAGTGGCGAGTATCTTCTACCATGTCCGAAATGCAGGTTTCCCTGCCACGTGGACAGCGAGAAGAACGTGGGAACCTGCTCGAGGCAGGGCTGTTCCATTGAATTCTGCATCTCCTGTTCGTCGAAGCCGCATACGGGCCCGTGCAAGACGCCATTATTGGCCACCCCGACGAAACGCAACAATAAACGTCTCATTGTCGGTTCGAGGCAGAGCAAGCGGAATCTGCGGCGATTGTAAAACAACATCCTCGGATCGCGTTCGAGGGAGAGAAAAACTAGTCCAATTCCAGAGTCGTCTCGGCTCTGAATCGAGAAAGAAATGCGTAATATTGTAACACTGAGAAAAAAAATTGTAAACTTGATTGAAATATTTTCAACTAATTTTTATTCTTGTGATTGAAATATTTAGGCATTTAAATTAAATACGATTAAATCTAACATGACATCTATTTAACTTTAATACTTAAAGATTTCCATTAAAATAATAATAATCAGTTGAGAATATTCAGTCAAGTTTACAATTTTTTCCCTCAGTTTAGATATCAAGAATCAAAAGTTATTCAATACACTATTTTTTTCCATCAATATACATATATTCGATACACTATTGTTTTCCATCACATGTACAATGCTCATAGTGGCAAATGAAATAACTAACATAAGAAAGCAGATATCTTTCTTAAAACTAATATCCCAACAAGGAAAGATCATCAGAAAAGATGGAGCGTTCAATAATGACAATCATATCAGCAAGAGAATTATCATTCCGCAAATATGGTTGAAACATTCCAATATTCTCGTTTTAGATTATTGGATAGATTAATTGAAGGTTTTATGTAGAAACGAGAAATTTAAAATATTTATATAAAAGAGAAAAACGCTCCTTTCTTTGTTCCGTATTTTCTGACATCAAAAAGCCGGTACAAAGAATTATACCATGATTGCATTTGTGCCATGATAAGTTTTCCTTCTCTCCTGCGCCATAAGAATTGCCATATTTTAAAAACTGATATAATTATAAGAAAGATCGAGCACTTTTCGTCCTCGAATAACGCCCTTAATAGGATGCCATATTCTGTTTGTGTATTTTGTTTGTACATTTTTCTCTTTTTAATTTAGTCTCTCTATATTTTTTCCTATCTTTTAAATGAGCGCTAGTTTATTTCGTTTCCATTGTTATTTTTCTACCGGTGCATGTGCGAAAAAGACTGTATGTAAATAATTAAGCGTAATAGTAATATATTTCGTGTCAGTACCGAGCAAAGTCTCGTGATCGATATTTTATTTACGCTACATTCTTTTTAAAACGATATAAAAGTACGTTTGTTACATAATTAAAATGATATTTCATTTCACGGATGTGCTTTGAATAAACAGGATTAATGTAGGATAAATATATTAGGCTAATATTGTTTCAGTAAAATTATCTTTATGATGTAGCAAAACAAGGAACGAACTTTTTATCACTCTCTTGCTTCATTATCTGTCATGTCAAATATATGTATAAATCTGTTTTATTAATGCTCTCTTCATGCTCTCTAAAGAAATAGATGTAGAAGCATTTTACGTGTCTTCGTTGATAAAAATATTGATCACGAAATAATCCGAGCGAAAAAATTATTATTAATATCATATCATGATTACGCATGATTCACGCGCATACTAAGATACTCATTAAAATCTTTTAAATTATTTATTTCGAATGTTTTATATTATTATTTCTTTAAATCAAACTTGCTGTTTGATCTTTTAATTCGAAGACTCGACTATTATTGTCGCGTTTTATATTTTTCACACACACACATTTCATATTTATATATATATGTTTCATATTTTAACCAATATAAACATACTAATTTATCGATTTCCAAGCTCGCCTGCGTTATAATGTTATAACAGGGAAGATACAATTTTAATATTAATAAGTGATTATAATTTGCAATGATTAATGCAATAAAAAATGATTTTTCATTTCGGCGAAACAATTAATGTAAAAAATATCTCGCATGTGGTGGTATCTTGAAACATTTTATTTTTAATACTCAAAAAATATCTTGGCAATAATCCAATGCATTTATTATACTAAGTTATATTTAAAAAAAAAAAAAAAAAAAAAAAGAATTTTGTTTAGCAAGGAGAAAGTGATACCAAATAAAATATGTCAGCGATAAGAAAAATCTCGATATTTTTATAAGAGTAAACATATTTTAATACTTATTGTTAGCATATAAGTTTTATAATACATTTACTCGAAGCTACGTTATGAAAAATGCAAAAATGCTCAATCGTTTCTGTATATTATTATTATTATATATCTTAAATTTGAAGAATTTAGAATCTTTGCGTGTTAGAAAAGATATTGAGACAGGTCCCTAAGAATTATTATAGTGAGTCTACATTAAATTAATTGAATGTTGTAAGCCCCTTTCAGGGTAGGTTCCTGTACCGTTAATTAAATATAGTATTTTCTGTATAATCTCATGTCTCTTTCTTTATCCAAAGATAACTAAAACATTTACATCTCTAATTAAATACTTTAGAAAATATTCATTCTACTGTGAACATAAAATTCCACATATATCCACATTGTGTGCAACGTCATATAATTTATTTACATATAATCTATTTATATATGCGCTCTTAGAATAAATTATGTATATCTAAGTTAGAAATTTCCATAGTATTCTAATTATCACAGCAAAAAAGATTGCCGTAATTGTCGCTATTCTATATCTCGATGCCTTCGTCTCGTCTTCTAATACTCGATGAAGAGCGATTTCTCGCGATAGAGGAGATTTAAGTACCGGAGATACACCTTCGCCAATCGGTTCCCCTTTCATGGAGAACTTCGTCGCTTCTGTAATCTTCACGTCGATCATTTTCCCCAAGTACCTTTCCTCCATAGGAATCAACACCTGTTCGTAGAATTTGTTGTGACCCACGTAATGCTGCTTATCGTGCGACATCTCCGTTATTAGCACCTTTTGCAACAATCCCACTTTATGCTGGTACGGTTCGTACGACTGGAAGAATTCCGATAATCTTTTAGTCCTCGTCTTCACTTCTTGCGTAGGCACTTTCGGCATTCTAGCAGCGGGTGTACCGGGCCGGGAGAAGAACTGATTGATGAAAAGACTCGGGAACTTGTATTTTTGACAGAGCGCCATCGTCTCCTCGAAATCCACCTCCGTTTCCGTGGGGAAGCCGCAAATGATATCCGTGGCGATGGTCAGACCCGGCACACGCTCGCTCAAGAAATTAACCGTGTGCTCGAAATCGGCGCGTGTATACTCTCGCCTCATGTCGGCCAGCACTTGATCGCTGCCAGATTGCACCGGAATGTGGAGGAAGCTGTAGACTTTGGGATGCCGCAAGATCTTGGCCATCTCGTCCAGATGCTCGAGGATGTATGGTGGATTGGTCATCCCGACACGCATCATACAACCATCCGGGATAACGTCTACCAGTTTCCATAACAATTCCGGCAAACTGGTGCCAATGTCTCTGCCGTAGGCCCCAGTATCTTCTGACGTGAGCCATAATTCGCACACACCCTCCTCGAAGGCCTGTTTAGCTCGCTCAACTATCTCTTCCGGTTGATAACTGCCCAATTCTCCTCGCGCGTGTTTCGTTTTACAGTAGGTACACTGATTCAGGCAACCTGTGTTGATGGCTATGATCTCAATGAGTGGATTTCGCCGCACTTTTGGAAGACTTAGAGAAGCGCCACCCATCTTCTTACCAGAATTCTTTTTCTGATGTAAAAATCTTACTGTATTTCCTTTTAAGGTTTCCTCTACAACTTCTACTACTCGGTCAATCTGTTGCACTCCGATTATACTTAATCCTTGAAGGAAAGATGATTTTGGAGCACCTTGTGGCACACATCTGTAAAAGATAATTGAAATTATTTAATTAGAATATAATGCAAATTAAAATTTTAATTAATTTCCATCAGCAATCTAATGTTGAATCTCCTGATATTATACAGGGGGTTTCTAAAACTATGTCGGAGATTTTAAGGGCGTATTCTAAGGATTAAAATAAGAAAAAAAGCTCATATAAACATGAGTCAAAAAATGCTTTTCCTCCGAGTTATAGCCCCCTAAAGTTGAGGGAAAAAAATCGAAAAATGTATTGTAACTCTCGGAAACTTTTTCATAGAACGTTAAAATTTTGCACAGCGTAATAATTAATAATGAGCTTCATTTTTATGTGGTTTTGACAATTTTTTCCCTCAACTTAGAGGGCTATAACTCGGAAGAAAAGCATTTTTGGACCCATGTTTATATAAACTTTTTCTTTTTTTAACCCCTAGAATACATCCTTAAAATCTCCGACATCGTTTTAGAAACACCCTGTATCAGCTATATTATTGAAGTGATTGATACTTTGATGTATATTCATATTTTGTAAAATTCTTAAAAATCAAGAAATAAATTGTCTAAAATTTTATATATTAATTACATATTAATATTAATATATCAATTATATATAAATATATTTATATATTAATTTTCAATTAAGAATAAAAATATCAAATAATTTACAAATGAAATAATTTATATATTTTAATATATTTATATAATTTAATATTTTATTAAATTAAATTATATATTATTAAATATTTAAAAACAAATTTCCAAAATTCTAAATTTCTCAGTTTAAAGGCCGCAGCACACACTTTTGCATAAACGCATAACCATAAGCATAAGAAAATTGATTGGTTCATTTTCTTATGCATATACTTGGGGACCAATCAATTTCCTTATGCTTATGGTTATGCGCTTATGCAAAAGTGTGCGCTGCGGCCTTAACTCTTTTAAGTAAAATATCCCTGTATGATTGTCTATTCTTCTATAAATATATTTTGTCTAAAGTTCTTCAATAATTCAATTCTTGCTCATCATATCTTAATGTAACATACCCGGCAATTACAATATGTTTGCCGATTTTCTTCCCATGCTCGATTTCATTCCTAAACTGATCCTCCGCAGGATTTTTGACGGTGCACGAATTCAGAAGCCACAAGTCTGCCTTTAGCTTATCGTCAGACAAGTTGTAACCATACATCGCCAGCTGTCCAGCCATGTATTCGGTGTCTGAATTATTGTGCGTACATCCCCACGTTTTCACGTAGATCGTCTGCGTGCCAGGTATTATACTCGACAGGATAGGCGGCTGCGGAACTTCCTCCTGCTCCTGTTTCCTTCGTTTCGGCCGTACCGTGATATGCTTCCTCGAGTTATACCTCTCTTTAGGCGTTATGTCCTGTGACGCGATTAAATCTTCGATGTCCTCGATGATATCTTCGCACGGAATAGGCATGTTCGACAGACACAAAGACGCTCACCAAAAGATCCTTTACCCCGCTCTCCTGAAACGTGTCATGAAATACTTCGAGGTTAACTGCACGTGTGCGATAATGTTATAAACTATCAAATCATTCATGTAAAAAAAAAAATAAATTCGTCAGATAATTATGATAAATATTATCTTATATTTTTATTATTGTACTGTTCGTTTTCCTTTATCGTTATTTTAAATCTGAACGATTGATTGGATTTGATAAAGGTTAGGATTAATTATAGATATACCATAAACGCAAAGATATCAGATGGCAAATGCTTTTGATAGCACTTTTACAGTGATGAATTACGTTGACACTAGAAGGATGTTCTCAAAATTATAGGGAGTATCTAATTTGACCACAGCCAATTATATCGACCTGTGCCTAGGTAACTAGCAATGATTGACCAATCAGAGAGTTCTATTTCGAATTGGCCAATTGGAGACGGGTATCTTACAAAATTATATTTGAAACTTCCCATTTTCTAATTGGCTGTGAAGAGAGGATCCCTAGAATTCCGACATGAAGTTTGTTCTTTTTAGCTGAATTTAATCAGAGAGGACTGAGAGATGTTATGACCCGCTTTTAGGTGATCCCTGGAAGCGATACTCCCTCTATGAACATTAAAAACGTGGACATGAACTAAAAAACCAATGTTCTCAGAAGATAACATATATGTCCCACTGATAATATAAATAATATAAATAAAAATATAAGTAATTTAATTAATAATAATTTAATTAATAATAATTTAATTAATAATAATTTAATTAATAATAATTTAATTAATAATAATTTATTATATAAAAATATTAGTATGTTCTCTCTTTTCACGCTATTATTTATTTATTTATTTATATGTCTTCTTTTTCTTTTTCTCAACATCATTTATTTACCTATTTATTTAGTTCACTCTAAGTCAGTCTTTTAAAATACAAAACTAAATATTATAAAATTTGACTTTGGAAAAGCGCGGTAAAACAATCGAATAAATTCAAATTATTAGCATAACAAAAGGTTACGTGATATATTAATCGTTTAATAATTAATTTAAAATAAAATATACCTCTATAATTTAAAATTCCGCGTGTATAGTACGTAAAATATTTCGGCAGAGAATTATCAATAATATCATGTTTCAATAATTTCATGGCCTTGGTGAAGTATAGCAAACGCGCTATACATGTCACGGCTTTGTCATCATTCACACGGTGACTCTCGAGCAATAAAGTAGTGATGAAAAACGCTTCGTATATTATAATTTTTGTATTAAACACGATTACGATTAGTATCGAAACCTAATTTGCTCCAAATATTAATAAGTATTAATTAATTAAAAATTAATTAACGACATGAAACTGTATCGCAACGATAAATTTTTATCGAATCGCATTTATTCACTACTGCGAATAAAAATTGAAACAGGGGATACATAAAAGAGCATAAGAGAATTAATTATGTCATGATCTTTCAAACATATTGATGCTTATTATAATGATATTTCTTTAACGATATTAGAATTAAATATATTTCGACCAGTGCTTTAAATATTCTCAATCCTTATTAATTAAATACAATAAACAATTTAATGGAGAATCGATAAAATGATAGGAATACAAGATATTAAATAATCACTTCGATCATTGTGATCTTTACGGACAATAATTATTATTTTAATACTTAGAGTCAAATATATTTTACCTATATTTCTTTATCGTACTACTTGACAATTTAAATGTAATTTACATTATGAGAGAACACGAAGTAAAACAATCGAATTACAGATACAAATAATTAGCATAACGAAAGACTTCATGAGTAATAAATAGTTTAATAAATAATCAATTAATATCTTAATCAATAAATTAAAATACTTTTATAATTTAATATTCCTCGCGCAAATATTTTATATTACAGAAAATATTTCGGCAACAAGAGAATTATCAATAACATCGTGTTCAACCTTGATAAACAGTATCGCGCTGTTGTTAATATGTTACACGGCTTTATTATCATTCGCACAATAACCTTGAGTAGTGACGAGAGAAACGTTTCACATATTGTCAAATTCTTTCTTACATAGTCAACTTTGACGATATAAACAGTACCGTGATAATGTTTCTGACTTACGATCATTCGGTCAATGACCCTCGAGAAGTGAGGTAGTGATGTGAGACGTTTTATATTTATATTATCAAATTCTTTCTCTAACCACAATTGCAAATGAAACAAGGAACTTTTCGTGAATGAGTGTAAGTGTAACGTGGAATTCAAATGAGTGAAACCAGAATTGGAGAGCCACGAAGACAAAGTGAAACAAAAGAAAAAAAAGAAGGTCTTGGAAATGGATCAATAAGATGTAAGTCATTAATATTTTTATAAGTTATAAAATTTATATAATATATTACAAAATTAATTATATATTATATTATATATAAAATTATATATAATATAATATAACCCTCCCATGGGGTACACCTTGTCGCGGTGGGAGGGCTTAGTACTTGGATGGTGCCTTGAGATTTATCTTAAATATTTCTATTTGTGATAAATCTTAAGGTGCCTGAATGGGAAGCTAAGTACCCTTTCGCGTCGTCGATGCGGTCAACGTGCCGCGGACAACAAGCACTTCGTTACCGCGTTTTCGCGTTGTAATATTCTCACATCGTCGCGTTTTCCTAAACCGGGCATGTCGTACAAAGTATATATATATATATTAAATATATCGCGCGACCAAATTTTTAATCGTACCGAATTAGTACGCGAGTGCCGTTTAGTATCGCGCGTAAAATAGCGGAAATAGCGATATAAAAATATCGCTCGTGAGTGCGGGAGTGTCGTTAAAGTATCGCGCGCCAACAACATGAGAGGAGGAGGAGGCCTGGAAGAGGCATCTTGCATCGGCGGAGCAACCTGATGGTGAATATTTATTATTTGTATATCAATTTGTACAAATTGTACGGATAATAATTCGATCTTATTATTGAAATGAATTAAAGAGAATAGAGAAAAAGATTTTTATAGAAGTCATATAAATTTTTCTATTTAAAAAACCGTCTCAAAAATTTATAAAATTTTTCCACACGTCTTTATCTCTGCTTACATTATTTTACATATCGGATATAAAATTTCGAACGATAAAAATTTTTTGAAATATTGATTGCATTTTGTAAATATTATTATAAATGAATTTTATATTTGTTGTTACAGACAACTAGCTTCGATAACAACAACTCCGCTGTTGTGCATCATTGCTGGTGAGTGAGAAAAACTTTTACTTAACTTTAAGATAACGGATCGTAGACATTGTAAATGTAGATGCAGATGTAGATTGTAGATTGTAGATTGTAGTAAATCCGTTCCGTCCTTAAAATGGATGAGCTAGGATAGATAAAATTAAATAATTATTAATAAATTCTTTCGAAATACTTTGCATCTATTGCGAAAATCTATTGAAGTATTAATTAAAAAAAAGATCAAGAAAAGAACATTTTTTTGTAAAGATTTTGTCTAATTTATTAAATAAAGAGCATGCATTAATAATTTTATCAATTTTATCCATTTTTCATGCTACTTTATTTTTATAACGCGCACTTATTTTATTCTAATTTCATATAGCTCATCCATCGTAAAATTTGTTTGTAGATATTGTTTTGAAACTTTAACTTAATATAAAGCCAAATGGTTAATTAATTAAATAATTTGTAATATGATAAAAGTTATACAGACACATAAATTTTATATTTTATTAGAAAATATAATATACAGAAATTTGTAGTTATTTGGCTTTATTTGAGTTGAAATAAAATTATTTACAAATATTTAATGAACGATCGTAAAATCGAGTGAGCTTGAAATATTTACGCTTATTTGCTGGTAATGAATCGGCAAAAGAAGGAGTGTTTCTCTTTTTTCGATCTTCTCTGATTAGAAATCGAGCGAGAAAGTGGCCAGGATTAACGAAAGGTAAATTCAACTAGCCTGAAGAAAAGATTTACGTACAATAGCACGTAATGTCGGACATTTATTCACGCGGTTAGGGCACGCGCTTAGAGAATGTAATTAGGGCAAGTAATTTAAAATATATGTGATATATTAGAGATAGGCTCGAATAATTTCACTTAATCGAGAAATAGGATTGTTAGGGCTATCAGGTGATTCTTAAGATTTTTAAATTCTCCTTTCAAGAAGTAGAGGATTGTTAGGACTATTATGTGATTAATTTAGATAATTAATATGTTATATATCTTTTAAAGAATCAGGAAATGTAGGTTTAAATAATATTAGGGAAAACAGATTATAATAAATATTTCAATAATTATAATTAATAAAAAAAATATAAGACTCGAAATATAAAATTAAACAGATCAGTTTTAATGGCAATACTAGTCAAGTGTCGATCTTATAACACAATTATTTATTATACAATCAAATAAATATGGATCAAATTATAAAGAAAAGTTAGCGAACGTTTCGACCCTATTTTTGAGCCATCTTCAGCGCAAATGTGATGATGTGATAAAAAACAATAACAAAAGATTTTATATCTGAGTCAATTACAAAGGGTGTCGTCTAAAGTAATAATAAATGCTTCGGTATCTCATTATTTTGACGATGCCTGTAATAAAATCAGTCAAATTTGTCAAGGAAAAAATTATTTAAAAAACAAAAAGTGAAAAAAATTAAATAAATAATGTAAACTAAAAATAAATAAAAAAATAGAATGATGTAAAAAAATGAATTGTTAGAGCTATTAGGTGATCATCAAAAATGACTGTTCATATATATTCCTTCAGGAAATTTCGATTTGAATGTACTCTTATTTTGTACGAACTACAAAACTTTTATATTCAGCTAATATTGTTATGAGTTGATGTCAGAGGCCGATAAGAAAACTATAATTTTATATATTTTTTTTATTTTGAACATAAAATGGTTCACTCTCATATTTGTTGCTATGTGTAATTTAATTGTGGAAAAGTATTTATTATTCTGTGCAGCTAATAAAAAGTTTTCGATATACAAAATTTTATCGGTAAAAAAAAAAAAGATCCGGCATCCTCTTAAATGATGTTCATAGACTTAAAGATTCATGAGACGTTGTCAACTGTTTTGATTATACTAGAGATAATTGCACTAATTATTTTAAACATGAAAATATTTTAGCTCATCCAACTTATATTTTATTATCGGAAATAAGTCTTTTATGTAGTTATGTAATTATTTTCAAATATACATTTTATTATACCAAATCATTGTTTTATCGACGATAATATATGTTTGTATAAAGATTAAACAATTGCACCAATAACGAAGTCAAAGTTTTTTATCTCCAACTTCATATAATTATAATTATAAAATCAGAAACGAAAAACCTTGACTTTATGCAACTTTAATCTTTGCCCAGTTACGGAAACAGTTACTCAAACTGTCTGATCTTTAGCAGAATATAAAGTCGCAATACTTTATATCGTGCAAACTTATTATTTTAAATTATTATAGGCTTATTATTTTAAATTATTATTCTAAATTATTAAAACATTTATTTTTATGCATCTCAAAAATAGTAATTTTAAAAATATATTAATCTTTGTACGCATATTTTTAAATCGTAATTAAAACTTTTAACCAATTCCAACTTTATATTCATAAAATGCCAACGTTAGACACATTTGCATAACTAAATAAAGATTAAGCAGTTGCATGCAATATATTAAAAAGATACGGAAATGAATACTAACAATAGACGCATTGTTTTAATTTACTTCATCATTTCCTGTCCTCTTTTATATTGTTTATAGCAAACCTTTTTTTTCCATCAGTTAATAGTATTTTTTTTATTAATTAATTAATCTTTTTTAATATAATATAATCGAAAAAAATATTTAAATTTTAATTTATCAATGCGACATCTCAGTCCAAAAAAAAGCGGTACACTTAAAATTGCGTAAAAAATCACCAAATTTCAAATGACGATAGCTTTATAATAATAAATATAGAAAGGTCTGTAAAAAATAGAAAAGAAGCTTTAAATCTCTACTTTAAGAATCGATTTATTTCAATTTGTTGCGAGATAAATTTATTTAAAATGGCGGATGACAAAGTAAGAGTATGCGAAATTGAAAAATAATGATTCGAGTTTGCCATGACACATGGCGTGAGTCAAATGTCGTAACTGAGTGGGATAAAAAGCATATGATATGACAGAGTCTCTTCTTTAGAATGCTTTCTTCTTCGTCTCGATACAATAATTTTTTGGAGAGTTATTTACATTTAAAATAAAAAACTGCCTTCTTATTCAAATGCCAATGTCTCGGTGAAAAATCATCTCTCCCATGAAAATCATCTAGCGTTCTCTCTCTAATTCACAAAGAACAATCTTGCCCCTCTGCCACATACTGAGCTCTGGGTTATCGGACTTTCTCGTTACCATACCGTTATCGTGGCGCGGAAAAACCGCGTCTGGCGCTCAATTTCGCTTTCCTTTGGGAAGATTTGTAAGATACCGTATGCTACCGTATTTTTCGGATATCGCTTTAAGAACCTCTAAATCCAATTATCGTATCGGCCAAAGCTTGCACGCTACCTCCTCGGGATCGGCGATCTCACCGTAACATAATGGCGGTGCGTGGCGAAGCGATGATTGGGGAAAGGAAGAGCCTTCGTCACGCGCCTATACACTCATCGCTCCTCCCTTCCTTAATCACTGCTTCGCCTTCACCACCATGCACTTCTAACCACGCGCATTGGCCGGTCTTCTTTAATTAATTTTTCGTTAATTATTGCGAATATCGCAAAACAGTAGAAGACTTTCCTTCTTATTTTGAGCCAATTTACCTTCACACTTGGGTACTGCTAAATATTTCCTGACACCCTGTATTATATGTTTATATTATAAGCGTTTAATCAATATATTATACAAGAAAGGTTAAATAGTCGCAAAAGTACACCCGAATGTCTCCCCCTCCAATGATATTTTTTAAATCTTTTTCACATACATTTTTTTATGTATAAAAATAATTCTTTTATTGTTAGCTATAAATCTACACATGTATGTACGTATATACATTTTATATTTTTTTAATTCTCTTTGCTATAAATTTACATATGTATGTACGTATATATATTTTCCTTATCTTTTTTTCAAAAAAAAAATTAACAAAAGAATGAAAAGCTTAATACAAAAGTGAATAAATAAACATAAACGTTATACGTTTAATTAATATATACAATTTTTAATGTATACATTAATTACAATTAATTTTATTAATATCTACGATTAATTTTATCTATTTGAATTAATTTTTTATAATAAAATTGCATTAAAAAGAAGATACTCATACTTTTATATTGAAGAATCGTATCAAATTTATTATTTGATTAAAATTTTTTAATAAAACAATAAATAATTTAATATTATAAATAGAAAATCAGTAAGCAAATTTCATAATTCTAGTAATTTTAATATCAAAAAATATTAAAAATACTATTTATTTTATTATTATTTATTTTAAACAGTATATTTCTCATATCTCAAAAAATATTTATATCCTGTGTTGATCACAATTATTACAAATTATCTCGTATTATATGAATGTTATATTGAATGACATATGCATAAGTTCAACTAAAAATACCTCGAGTTACAAAATTATAAAGCAAATTAAAAATGCAAGATGTGATACATTATTAATTATACAGTCGCAAGAATCAACATAATTAGTAAGAAAAATCTACTTATATAGGTAACAGTTTAACGCTCTATTATTTCATTACTTCTCATCTGTAGAGTAAACTATAACGCATTATATTGTAAATATCAAATTTTTTCTTGACAACATTTTATATATTGTTACGTTCCTGATGTTCGTGATCGTCAAGTCGGCATTACAAACGATGAACAACTGGTTGTTAAAAAGGAAAGAACAGCTGAGTCGAAAGATAGTTATCAAGCTATCCGATTTTCATATACGAGCCATTGTTACGTTATTAATCCATTATGTTATTAATCTGTTGTTCGTGTATGTTCTGTGTATGTTTCGCAGAAAATTAAAGTTCCTGTGTGTTCTCTAAAAGTGTTCTTTTAACACGATCCGCAACAGTCGTTCTCTTTAGTGCGCGTATTCGATATATCTTGAAGTCCTCGTCTCGAACGTAATAATATATATATATATATATATATATATATATATATATATGTATGTATGTATGTGTATATATACTCCATTTATTATTCCAGATTAACATAGATGAAAATAATTGTTTATTGTGATGGAAGAAACATACAGACCATGCATTAATATTGATTCTGGCGATGAAATCGTTATTTCAGGTATCGCTGGTAGATTTCCAGATTCAAATAATATGAATCTTTTACAAGAAAATCTATTCAATAAAGTTGATCTTCTTAGAACAGATCATGGCCGATGGAAAATGGGTAATTAAAATTTATAATCCTACTCGTGATTGGTTAACATGAAATATGTCTTCTCATTTTCAATAATTACAAAATATTATAAGAATATGTTTTTAATTAAAATTTTGAAAAATATAACATTAAATATATAGCATTAAAAATATACTATAAAATATAGAAATATAGAAATTGTATTATATAAATGTATTATAACACATATCTTTATGAAGTCATAATTCGTTAGAGCATCCAGATTTACCACAACGGATGGGAACAATTAATAATATAGAAAAATTTGATGCTGATTTTTTTAACGTATGCTTCAAGCAAGCACACACGCTCGATCCTATGACGAGAATATTATTGGAACATACTTATGAAGCAATTGTCGATGCTGGGATCAATCCAAAACAATTGCGAGGAAAAAATACAGCCGTGATCATAGGAACAAGTTTTCTGGAATCGCAAGAGAGATTTGTGTATGAGAATCTTCAGGTAAAGAAAGTTGACTATTAAATATAGAGGAAAAAAATTGATATAAAGAGTTATCGAATTCATTATTCACATGTAAAAATTTGTCGTTGCTTACTTCCTATGATTAGGTAGACGGTCTAGGCATTGTGGGATGTAACAAATCTATAGTAGCAAATATGCTTTCATATATTTTGGATTTGAAAGGGCCATCTTATATAGTCGATACGGCATGCAGCTCCTCTGTTTATGCCATAGCTCTTGGTTATCGTGATATCATGTCAGGTCGATGCGAAGATGCCATAATTGGAACCTCACAATTATGCATACATCCCACCGTAAATCTGCAATTCTTTCATCTTGGTATTTTTGCTAAAATTAATCAATATCTCGTCAGATTTTGTATGTGTATGGGAAAATACATATTTTATTTTAGGTGCTTTGTCACCCGATGGTTGCTGCAAACCTTTTGATATTGCTGCTAGCGGATATTCGCGTAGTGAAACCTTGTCTGTGCTATATCTTCAGAAGGCAAAAAATGCTAAAAGAATTTATGCTACATGTAAACATATTAAAATTAATAGCGATGGTTACAAGGAAGAAGGAATAACGTTCCCATCGACATATATGCAAAGCATTTTATTGACAGAGGTGTACAAGGAATGCGATATATTACCATCTTGTCTAGATTACATAGAAGCACATGGTACCGGTACTAGAGCTGGCGATCGTGAAGAAGTCAATGCTATCTATACTGTTTTATGTAAGAATAGAAAAACTCCGTTGATGATCGGCTCTGTAAAATCCAATCTTGGTCACGCTGAACCTGCCAGTGGTTTCACTCAGATCGCTAAGGTAGACTGAAAATAATTTATCCAACGATATTTTCATGTTTCTAAAAGAAAATAATATACAGTAAATTCCGCGTACATGATAAATGGTTTTATCTCCTATATAATAAAAAGATCCTTTTACTATTCCTGCATTGCGAGCAAAAGAATCTCGAAATTTAATGTTTATCTATCTGTGACGATTGATTTTTATACACATAATTTAAAATTTTCACTTATACACATTAAAATGTTTTAAAAATATTAATCCTTTCACAAATTAAGGTGAGAGGTTTGCAATTAAAATGACATTATTCGGATAATTTAAATAAAAACACATAACAAAATACGTATTTTTATCTAATTAATTTCAATAATTTTTTAAGATAATAATAGCATTCGAAACCGGTTTTATTCCACCAAACATCAATTATACATCACCACGAGATGATATAGATGCTCTTGTAAATGGAGCCATACAAGTGGTTACAGAAGCAATACCACTTAAGAATGGATACATCGGCATTAATTCTTTTGGATTTGGGGGATCCAATGCTCATATGTTATTAGAATGGAATACCAAACAGAAAGTTAACAACGCAACACCGGACAATGGTTTGTCAAGACTTGTGATATTGTCTGGACGCACCGAAGAATCAGTAAATTCGTTTCTAAATGATGTTAGTAGATATTTCAAAAGCAACATTATTTACAATAATTAGAAAATGTACTATTCAACAAAATTAAAAGATGATTTAAAATCATAAAAAGGGGGCAAATTTCAACGTATCTTTGACAAAAATAGTCATAGAACAATATAAGAACAATAAAAGAGAGCATTTTAAAGCTGAAAACTTTAACTTTTCACTGATTCAACACACGTTTCACAACAAAGATTTTACTACAGGCAACATTTCTTTACAGTAAACTTGCAAAATTGAAAAATAAATTTAAACCATAATGACGTGTGAGGAAAATATTTTTCTTCATAACAATTTTAAATGCATCATAAAATTTTAATATCGCTCTACGAATATTTTTTCATAAAGATATGTGAATTTGTATGTGATCTTTTCTTCATGCGTTGATTTTAAATAATCTTTTAATTTTGTTGAGAGCAGTGTATGTCTAGTATATAAGATTTTAAAAAATTGTTTGTCTTGTAGGTTGCTAACCATTCGACAGATGTCGAATATATTCGTTTATTACACGATATATATGCATATAATATAGAGGATCATCCATGGAGAGGATATATTATATTGAACAATTTGCAACAAAATTCAATAAAGGAAATCCAAAATAATGGGAATTTAAAAAGACCTATTTGGTTTATATTCTCTGCCTTGGGCGCGCAGTGGCCAAAAATGGGTATATATATAAAATATTCTATATTTAATATATAATAGCACGCTTAAATCATGAAATGATATAACATCTAAATTATAACTTTATCAGGTCAAGATTTATTAAAATTTGACTCCTTTGCAAATGCTATAAAAATATGTGACGCTACTTTAAAATCATATGATATAAATATTATGGACATTTTGTTAAAGCAAGACGGAAAAGAATGCCAAAGCAGTTTACACACATTTATCGGCATCGTTGCCATTCAGGTAAAATATTATAAATGTATAAATTTATATGAAAATTGTATACATGAAGTGAGTCATTAGAAACTGCCTTCAAAGATATTTTAATATTATATTTTATATTTTCTATTATTATATTTATATTATATTTCAATATTATTTTATAACTTTGTAGATTGGATTGGTAGATCTTCTAACATCTTTAGAAATTAATGCAGATTACATGATTAGTCATTCGGCTGGTGAACTTGGTTGTGCATATGCGGATAAATGTCTAACTATTGAACAAACTATTTTATCGGCATATTTTATTGGTTTAGCCTGTATCGAAGAAAATGTGATTCACAGCTCCATGGCAGTTGTGAATCTTAATTATGAATCCCTCAAAAATATATGTCCAGCAAATATTGAAATAGTGTGTCACAATAGCGAAAACAGTAATATTGTAACTGGACCCATAAGATCCATAAAAGAATTTATTAAAAAATTACAGGTATTATTTATCAATTCAATTTTTAATTAGATTGATTTTTGACTTGTCTTCTTATAAAAACAACTTTAAGAGTTTATTTTAATTTGCTTTATATTTGCTTACATTAATTAATTTCATTTTGCCAGATTAATAATATTAACGTGAAAGAAATCTCTTGCGATGTACCATATCACAGTCATTACCTCACACCCGTGGAAACTCAACTTTTATTTAATTTGAACAAAGTAATACCACAACCGAAAAAGCGAAGTCCAAGATGGATCAGTACTTCTGTACCTTGCATCGAGTGGTCCAATACGGCAACAAAATTATCTTCAGCAAACTATCATACGCATAGTATATTAAATACTGTTCTCTTTAAACAAGCAACGAAGTTAATCCCAATTAACGCCGTGACTATCGAAATTGCACCGGATAGTATCCTACAACATATTTTGAAAGAATCCTTACATCCAGAAGTGACGAATATCGTATTGACTCAGCGCACTGAAAATGTCACCAATGTAACTATGCGAGGAATTGGAAAACTTTACAATTGTGGCTTACAGCCGCAGATCGTTAACTTATATCCACCAGTGAAATTTCCAGTTAGTCGAGGAACTCCTATGATCGCTCCATCTATCAGGTACATACATACAATGTCAAGAAAGATTCTTCTCTTTTTCTTCCCAAGCCTCTCTCCCTCCCTTGTTCGATTGCTCCCTCGATCCTCCCTTGTTCGATCGCTCCCTCGATTCTGCCTTCTTTCGCTATCTCCCTTCCTTATTCTTTCGCTCTCTTGCTCCTTTCCTCCCTCCTTTTCTCCTTTCCTCCCTCCCTTTCTCCTTTCTTGGGCACCCTGTAACAAATAAGATTTTGATGCCAAATTATATGCATTAAAATACATTAAAATCAAATATTGAAAACATTATTCTTTATAGGTGGGATCATTCTGAAGATTGGTTTGTGGCAACTCATCAATCGCAGAGGTCTATACAATCCAATGAAAGACACATCGAAATCAATCTCAGTAATGAGGACTACAATTATATGAGTGGTCATGTAATCGATGGAAGAAATTTACTACCAGCGACAGGATATCTTGCGCTTGTTTGGGAAACTATCGGCATGATGGAAGGAAAAATATATACAACTATGCCGATAATATTTCGAGATATAAGCTTTATTCGTGCTACTCATTTATCAAATAACATTGTAAAATTGACAATTACAATACAAAAAGGTATTTACATCATTCTTACATTATTCTTGAATAGTAACGTTAAAATTATACGATTTCATAATTATGTGTAATATCAAAAATATAAAATATTACAGAAGGCGGAAAATTTGAAATTATTGAAGGAGATAGCGTTGTAGTAACAGGTATAGTACATACTATATCGAATCCAGAACAAGAAATGATTCCAAACAACCTATTGCCGAAGAATGATAATGAGGAAGAACATATAACTGCTCGAGACATTTACAAAGAATTAAAATTACGTGGTTATCAGTATAGTGGCTGGTTCCGTGGATTAAAAAGCGCATCTCTTTCATGCAACAAAGGACATATTGCTTGGACAAATAATTGGGTGACGTTTATGGATACTATGCTACAACTGCATATTCTTGGATATGATACTAAGAACTTATATGTTCCTACAAGTATTCAAAAATTAGTGATCGATCCTGCGCTTCACTCATTAAAGCTGCGGGATATAACAGAAGATAATAAACGTATGTTCATAGTCAATTAGAAAAAAAATTAAAATCAAATATTGAAAACATTAATAATATAAATTATCTTAATATAGCTAGTCAATTATCCGAAAGATCGTTCGAGGTAATAATCGACCAAAACTAGCCAGAAATTTTATGTTTATTGTTTACAACGTTTCGACCATGTGGTTGTGATCCTTATCAAGTAAATACTGGAAATATAATAATTAGATCTAATTATTTAATATATTTCCAGTATTTACTTGATAAGGATCACAACCACATGGTCGAAACGTTGTAAACAATAAACATAAAATTTCTGGCTAGTTTTGGTCGATTATTACCTCCAATGATCCATTGAAAACATGATTCTTTTTTATCTACCATATTGTTATTACTACATTATATCTACTACATTATTACTAATATAATGGAATCTTTGTGTAATAAAATAGTTGATTGAATTGTCTCATTATAGAATTATCAATACGAATATACAAAGAAATAGACACGATTATATCTGGCGGAATAGAGATTCGAGGTGTTAAAGCTACTATGAGTTCTCGCCGGAAATTAATCCAGGATCCCGTTATTGAAGAACACATATTTGTAGCTCATCATGATCGTGCGAAGATTTCTTTAGGCGAAACGATCCAAATATCGGTGCAGCTTGCGTTGGAAGATCATCAGAACATTAAAATAAAAGCCATTGAATTAGTTGAAGATATCGATAATGTAACATTGGAAGAATTATCATCTCCGCTGTTAATTAAAGCTTTTAATGATATGCCACTACACATACAGGCAAATGTCACTTTATTAACATCATCGAGTCGTTTCAGTTCAGAAGAATTGCCACAAAATGTTACAATCGCAGATTTAAATGCATCTTTAGATGATAAAGTGTTAATAGCTGTTGGATTCAATCTTTTGACGAAACAAATCTCGTTAGAAAAACTTTTACCACTCATAAGAGAAGGTGGATATCTGTTGACACGCGAAAAGTACAACATAATTAACTATGAAAAATATTTGCAACAATACGAATTAAATATTATTCTTGAAAAGCGCACTGATACGGAAGTAATTATACTTTTGAAGAAAAAAGTTGAGATAAAAAGGACGACTGTTGTCTATATAGATAATAACAATTTTAATTGGCTCCAAAAACTAAAATTACTTTTGAATGATGAGAATCAACTTGTTAAAGACAGTAGAATCATAATTGTTGGAGAAAAAGACTTTGAGTGCGGTTTGCTAGGCTTCGTTAACTGTTTGAGGAAAGAGTTAGGCGGCGAATTTGTTAGAGGTGTACTTATTCAAGATCAGAACGCTCCTAAATTCTCTTTACAAAATCCCTTTTATATGCAACAATTACAAAAAGACATGACTATTAATGTTTTGCGCTCTAATAAAATCTGGGGATCTTACAGGCATTTACAATTACCGCGTCCAGAAGCCCAACTTGTATCTTCCGCTTATGTTTGTCAAATGGTATATACATATTTTTGCGAAGATTTGCAAAGTTTTTTTAATAGTATATAAGTACTTTCTATATGTATACATGCGCAATAATAGGTAAATCTGCATAAAAGGGGACCATGCTCGGATTACTTTGATCTTGACATATGTTGTCAAGGTCATCCTCCTGAGTAACAGTCAAAAGGTTTTAGTCGTCGGTCGTTGTTTATTAAAAAAGTTATTAACGAAGAAAGTCAAGATACGAGCGGGATCTCCTTTTACGCAAGTTTATCTAATAATAATTATATTTTTGTTTTCTGTAATGTAGAAATTTGATATTTAAAATTTTACTTTACATATAGTATGTCACATATACTAAAATATTTTCTTATATTTTATAGGTTCGTGGTGATCTAAGTACATTTTGTTGGATGGAAAATGAAATATCTGATTCTCGGGTCGAAGATTTGATACGTATAGTTTATTCGTCTATCAATTTCAGAGATGTAATGTTAGCTACTGCGAAATTAAATTCATTGCCGACCGCAATGTCGCAAGAACGATTTCAAAGTATATCTCTTGGATTGGAATATGTAGGATTCGATACCAATGGACGTCGCGTAATGGGACTTCGTGATAACAAGTAAATATTATTATTATTCAAGCAATTATTATATAAAATATCATTGATCAATTGATCAATTATATCATCAATTAATTAATATTTTCGCTCTTTCTAGATGTATAGCAAACATCGTTGTGAAAGACAAAGATTTATGTTGGAACATACCTGATACATGGACATTTGAAGATGCTGCTACAATCCCATGCGTTTATAGCACGTGTTACTTCGCTTTATATATTTATGGGAAGATGAAGAAAGGCGATAAAATACTTATACATTCCGGTACTGGAGGCATTGGACAAGCAGCTATTCACCTAGCTCTTAACGAGGGATGCGAGGTGTTTACTACCGTAGGTACAACTGAAAAGCGAGAATTTATTAAGAGAACGTTTCCGACTATTACGGATAAGTATATTGGAAATTCTCGAGACACCAGTTTCGAACAAATGATAATGTTGCAAACAAACGGTTATGGCGTGGATATCGTGTTAAATTCGTTGTCAGAAGAAAAACTAATTGCATCCGTTCGTTGTCTAGCACGAAATGGTCGTTTCCTGGAGATCGGCAAATTCGATCTTGTTTCTAACAATCCTTTAGATATGATCATGTTTCAAAAAGGTATTAGTTTTCATGGAATTCTATTAGAAAATATATTTCTGGGTTATCACAAGCATAAGTCTCTAGTATCCAAAATGATGGCTAACGGTTTGAAAAATTTGATCATTAAACCACTTCAGGTGAAAGTTTTTCCAAAATCAGAAATTGAAGCGGCTTTCAGATACATGTCAAGTGGGAAACATATAGGAAAGGTATGTTAATAATATAACTATTTTACAATATTTATAAACGGTATTACAACAATTTGAAATATTATAATATTACTCTCGACGTCTCTGTAATATATAAATATATATTTTTAGATAATTTTAAAGATTCAGGAGGAAGATCAATCTTTGAACGAACTGGTTGTTGCACATCGTTGTTACTATTGTCTCAGTAATAGAAGCTATATTATATTAGGAGGTCTAGGTGGATTCGGTTTGGAGTTAACCGATTGGCTAATACTACGAGGCGCTAAAAACGTCGTGCTGATTTCGCGAACTGGGATAAAAAATGGTTATCAGCGCATGAAACTTCAATTATGGAGATCTTACGGTGTAAATGTGATTATTATGAAAAATATCGATACGGCCAACCGTGATGATTGCGAAAACCTTTTGCGAACTGCGGAAAAGATAGCACCGGTGGATGCGATATTCAACCTGGCCGTAGTGCTGAAGGACAACATTTTGGAAAATCAAACCATCAATACCTTTACGGAATCCTTCAAATCGAAGGCCTGGGCAACGCAAATGTTGGACAAGCTGTCTAGAAAAATCTGTCCTAAACTACGGCAGTTTGTAGTGTTCTCTTCCGTTTCTTGCGGTAGAGGAAACACTGGACAAACTAATTATGGCATGGCTAATTCCGTCATGGAGAGAGTGTGTGAGAAAAGGGCGAAGGATGGATTACCTGGACTGGCGATTCAGTGGGGAGCTATAGGTGACGTAGGTCTTGTCGCTGATATGCAAGAAGAGAATAAGGAACTCGTTATCGGCGGTACTTTGCAACAAAAGATATCTAGCTGCCTTAACGAACTCGATACATTTTTACTTCAAAACCGACCAGTCGTAAGTAGCATGATTGTAGCCGAGAGAAAAATAAAATCTTCCAGATTTTACAATATGATTGAAACTGTTGCTAATCTTTTAAGTAAGTATTCGCTTGCATACTATTTCATATGTATTAAACTATTTCTCGCATAAGATATAGTAAATCTAATATTTTATATTTACAGATGTAAAGGACATGAAAAAGATAAGCCAAAATACATCTTTATCTGAGCTTGGAATGGATTCTATGATGGTTGTGGAAATTAAGCAAATCTTGGAACGAGAATGTGATATCTTTTTTACTATGCAAGAAATACGGAATCTTACTTTCGCAAAACTTAATGAGATTTCCAATGCAAACACTGATTATAAGAATACGCAAATTGAAAATTCAATCGATAGAAAACAAAATATTGCGAACTTATTCGGCATTGTGGAAGACAAAGATTTTATGACGAAAGTTTGTTTAGATATCTTTAAAAAAGAAGAAGATACGATCCAAGTATTTCTTATACCGGGAATCGATGGCTGTGTAACTGTATTTCATCACTTGGCATCAAACGTTAAATTTTCGATGACATCCTTGCAATGTAACACAAACAATATTAACACTATGAACACACTATCGGAGACGGTTGACTATCTTCTCGAGGTATCGCAATTGTAATTTTTGTGTTTCTTTGATTGAAAAATTGTTTTTTATTAAAATTTAATATTGTAAGATAGACAAAATTTGCCGAATTATTTTAAAAATATTTTTATAGCACATATCCTCAAGATTGAAAGATAGAAGAAATTTTGTAATGGTAGGATATTCTTTCGGATCTATCATCGCAATTGAATTAACAAGAAAATTGGAAACTATGAATTTTAAAGGACGACTTGTACTTATCGATGGCGCTCCGGATCAAGTGCAAATGATGTACAAACATTATGTATCAAATTCCAGCGACATAGAACTTCAAAATGATGTTTTAATTACTATTATGGAAATGTATAAAGCAGGATCCAGTGAAAAGGTAAAATCTGCTTTTTTATATACACAAAAATAATTTCTAGTTACAAATATTATTCCTATATCAATCTTATATTTTAAACATCTTATGATTCTTACATTTTTTTCATTTAATCAATAATCATTTGAAAACAATCAAAATTAAAAATCTAATTTTTTGCGACTCGAATTATTTCTAATATTTCCTTTCAGCAAGTTCACGTACAATTCATCTATTTTCTCTTATTGTAAATAGTCATAAATAATTATGTCAAATTAAACTCGATATAGTACTAGCCAAAACAAAAAATAACGTTAAGTTAGATTTGACATTAAACCAAAAAAGGTTAAAAACCTAGAAAAGGTTTGAAAAATCATTTATAACAGAATATATAAATCCGACAGGTTCTACAGGAATTGAAGAAATATAAAACTTGGGAGGAGCGCTTTAATATTTTTGCCAAACATTTTTTAGCAATAAATACATTACTTTCACCCATAAATCTGAACACGTTCTGTACAACGGTGTATAAACATTTAATCATTGCTCGACAATATAATCCTTCTACATTACCGCGTATTAAATCACCCATAATGTTGCTAAAAGCTACATTGTCATATGTACATATGAATGAAGAGGATTATGGTCTGCACAAGGTATTTCGGAGAAAGTTTTGTTCAAATGTATATTTAATAAATTAAATTTAACAAACTTTTCGTTTAACGAAATATATATAATATTTAAGATTACTCAAAACAAAGTGGAGGTACATGACATCGAGGGTAATCATTTGACGATCTTGAGAAACGAGAAAGTGGCAGCTATGATTAATGAGAAACACTATGATTATATTAAATAATTCACTGATATTAAAATAAGAGATTTTTAGACAATCGTCTACGGGCAATTAAGGACATATTCGGATGAAATATTTGGTGACATTTTGTCAATAAAAATATCATTTTATTGATAATATATTGGTCGAACATACACAAAAAGTTTACAATAAACAATATGTATTAAATATGTATTAAAAATCAATCGATTGATTGTAATCAACTATGAGGTATTTTAATATATTGTTCTGTGTCGATTTTTATGTATGTTCGAACAACTTATTACCAATAAAATGCCATAAAATATTTAACTTTATAATTATATAATTTTATTAAGAATTTAAGTGATAAAATTATTTAAAAGTCTAAAATTATTTAAATTTTCCAACCTTGCTTCCTTATAAAGAAAATTTTGTTTTTGTAGAAAAAATTTTTTTCTAATTTTCGATGCCAGTGTTCAGAATGTTTTAAAATGTTGAAAAAAATACATTTAAAAAAAACGTCTAAAATATATGACTGTATGTATGTAATATTACTCAACCGTTTATAAATTAAAAATTGTTTGAATACTGCATTTCGGCATACAGTAAAACAATACAATTTTGGTAAAATATTACCATTTTTATTTTTCATTTATTTACTATTATTTTTTTAAATTTAAATTTAAATTTAATAATATGTTTATACATATATATATTTTAGATTTTTAGACAGTTTCTATTCTTCAAAAAATGTTTGTTTATACTCTAACTTCAGCAAATTTTGTAATATCATACTAATTTTTTTTTAATTTTAAGTCAATAGAATATTATTAAAAAACGATTGGTATTAAATTTGGTGAGAATCAATTAAAAGGTTTATTTTTCATGAAATTTTAAATTTTTAAAAATGTTCGTGCACGCTTTAATTAGAGTATATTTTGAGATATCGTGTTAAATTTTTTATACGAATAGAATATCATTAAAGAATATAATTAATTATAGAATATAATTAATAAGAGGTGAGAAATATCATTAAAAATATAATTAATTATAGAATATAATTAATAAGAGGTGGGATTAAGTTATCGTAGAATTAGTTGTCGGTGAGATAATCAAATCGAGATAATATCAAATAATATTACACATTACAGCGCGGAAGCCGTTAATGAAGAAAGATGCGGACATTGAACAACTTGTGCAATCGATTGTTGCTTTATTATACAGGTTATCCTATTTTAATATGGACAGTAAAATACTCTCAAAAACTAAGCCCAGCAAACAAAAATGTTTCAGACAAAAGTTGTATGGTTTCAAGGGGGACATAAGATGGTATCATTGTTTTGACCTTAAAGAGTTATTTGAAGATCACATGAAGACCACCTTCAATTTCTTAAATGGAACCTACATTTTCTCATTACATATTCTTGTAACTTATTTCGAGAATTTTCCAAAACACTATAATAAAATATTTTTTTATTGAGTACTTTTCGAATTATGAGGGTTGAAATCTTGAAATTTCTTAATTTTACATAAACCATAAAATATCTAGTAAAATTTTGTATTTATTTTGCGATTATCTTACCTTAATGTTTTTATGTACAAAATAATGAGAGGAATCAATTGGTGTAAAGAAAACATACAGTTGTTTTTAAGAAAAAATATGTAATTGTTCAGCTTTTAATTTGCTTTAATTTTACACATTACATTCGAGCCTTTGAAACGGTCGAAATAATTGACATTTGTGTACCGATCAATTTATTATGCAGTCGATAATCTCGCATGATGAAAAGATTGACACACGAAAGAAATCTCATCCTGTATATATATCAGAGAGAAGACAGAGATGTCATGGCCATCTTTTAGGTGATCTCTGAAAGCGATACTCCCTCTATGGACATTGAAAACGTGGACATGAATTACAAAGGCAAAGTCCATATATGTTCTCAAAGGGTAATATATATGTGCACAATTTCCGGTTTTGTTCCGTGCTATATGCACGAAATGTCGGTAGCATCAGTACTGTACAACAAGATATTTTTATGTATGTAAACTGATAATAAATAAATTATTCAATCGCGAAAGATACTGTAATATTCAAAGATGAAATAAATATTTTTCTATATTTATTGTCATATTTATATCTTTTTATTTACAAAATACAAAATGCCTGTGGGATAAAAACTAATTTTCCTTTCAAGAAGTAGAGGATTGTTAGGACTATTATGTGATTAATTTAGGTAATTAATATATTATGTATCTTTTAAAGAATCAGGAAATGTAGGTTCAAATAATATTAGAGAAAACAGATTATAATAAATATTTCAATAATTATAATTAATAAAAAAAATATAAGACTCGAAATATAAAATTAAACAAATCAGTTTTAATGGCAATACTAGTCAAGAGTCGATCTTATAAGACAATTATTTATTATACAATCAAATAAATATGGATCAAATTATAAAGAAAAGTTAGCGAACGTTTCGACCCTATTTTTGGGCCATCTTCAGCGCAAATGTGATGATGTGATAAAAAACAATAATAAAAGCTTTTATATCGGAGTCAATTACAAAGTGTGCCGTCTAAAGTAATAATAAATGTTTTATTATTTTGACGATGCCTGTAATAAAATCGGTCAAATTTGTCACAAGAAAATTATTTAACATTAAAAAACAAAAAGTGAAATAAATTAAATAAATAATGTAAACTAAAAATAAATAAAAAAATAGAATAATGTAAAAAAAAGAATTATTAGAGCTATTAGGTGATCATCAAAAATGACTGTTCATTTATATTCCTTCAGGAAATTCCGAGTTGAATGTACTCTTATTTTGTACGAACTACAAAACTTTTATATTCATTGCAGCTAATATTGTTATGAGTTGATGTCAGAAGCCGATAAGAAAATTATAATTTTATATATTTTTTTTATTTTGAACATAAAATGGTTTACTCTCATATTTGTTGCTATGTGTAATTTAATTGTGGAAAAGTATTTATTATTCTGTGCAGCTAATAAAAAATTTTCGATATACAAAATTTTATCGGTAAAAAAGGAAGATCCGGCATCCTCTTAAATGATGTTGATAGACTTAAAGATTCATGAGACGTTGTCAACTGTTTTGATTATACGGGAGATAATTGCACTAATTATTTTAAACATGAAAATATTTTAGCTGATCCAACTTATATTTTATTATCGGAAATAAGTCTTTTATGTAGTTATGTAATTATTTTGAAATATACATTTTATTATACCAAATCATTGTTTTATCGACGATAATATATGTTTGTATAAAGATTAAACAATTGCATCAATAACGAAGTCAAAGTTTTTTATCTACAACTTCATTTGATTTTATAATTATAATTATAAAATTAAATACGAAAAACCTTGACTTTATGTAACTTTAATCTTTGCCCAGTTACGCAAACAGTTACGCAAACTGTCTGATCTTTAGCAGAATATAAAGTCGCAATACTTTATATCGTGCAAACTTATTATTTTAAATTATTATAGGCTTATTATTTTAAATTATTGTTCTAAATTATTAAAACATTTATTTTTATGCATCTCAAAAATAGTAATTTTAAAAACATATTAACCTTTGTACGCATATTTTTAAATCGTAATTAAAACTTTTATCCAATTTCAACTTTATATTCATTAAATGCCAACGTTAGACACATTTGCATAACAAGACATAGATTAAGCAGTTGCAACATATTAAAATTATACGCAAATGAATACTAACAATCGACGCAATGTTTTAATTAACTTTCTGTCCTCTTTTATATTATTTCCTGTCCTCTTTTATATTGTTTATAGCAAACCTTTCTTTTCCATCAGTTAATAGTAATTTTTTTATTAATTAATTAATCTTTTTTAATATAATATAATCGAAAAAAATATTTAAATTTTAATTTATCAATGCGACATCTCAGTCTAAAAAAAAGCGGTACACTTAAAATTGCGGAAAAAATCACCTAATTTCAAATGACGATAGCTTTGTAATAATAAGGATAGATAGGTCTGTATATTTCTCATATCTTAACAAATATTTATATCCTGTGTTGATCACAATTATTACAAATTATCTCGTATTATATGAATTTTATATTGAATGATATATGCATAAGTTCAACTAAAAATACCTCGAGTTACAAAATTATAAAGAAGATTAAAAATGCATGATGTGATACATTATTAATTATACAGTCGCAAGAATCAACATAATTAATAGGAAAAATCTAGTTATATAGGTAACAGTTTATCGCTCTATTATTTCATTACTTCTCATCTGTAGAGTAAACTATAACACATTAATATTGTAAGTATCAAATTTTATCTTGACAACATTTTATATATTGTTACGTTCCTGATGTTCGTAATCGTCAAGTCGGCATTACAAACGATGAGCATCTGGTTGTTAAAAAGGAAAGAACAGCTGAGTCGAAAGATAGTTGTCAAGCTATCCGGTTTTCATATACGAGCCATTATTATGTTATTAATCCATTATGTTATTAATCTGTTGTTCGTGTATGTTCTGTGTATGTTTCGCAGAAAATTAAAGTTTCTGTGTGTTCTCTAAAAGTGCTCTTTTAACGCGATCCGCAACAGTCGTTCTCTTTAGTGCGCGTCTTTGATATATCTCGAAGTTCTCGTCTCGAACGTAATAATATATATATATATATATATATATATATATATATGTATATGTATGTATGTGTATATATACTCCATTTATTATTTCAGATTAACATATATGAAAATAATTGTTTATTGTGATGGAAGAAACATACAGATCGTGCATTAATATTGATTCTGGCGATGAAATCGTTATTTCAGGTATCGCTGGTAGATTTCCAGATTCAAATAATATGAATCTTTTACAAGAAAATCTATTCAATAAAGTTGATCTTCTTAGAACAGATCATGGCCGATGGAAAATGGATAATTAAAATTTATAATCTTACTCGTGATTGGTTAACATGAAATATGTCTTCTCTTTTTCAATAATTACAAAATATTATAAGAATATGTTTTTAATTAAAATTTTAAAAAATATAACATTAAATATATAGCATTAAAAATATACTATAAAACATAGAAATATAGAAATTGTATTATATAAATGTATTATAACACATATCTTTATGAAGTCATAACTCGTTAGAGCATCCAGATTTACCACAACGGATGGGAACAATTAATAATATAGAAAAATTTGATGCTGATTTTTTTAACGTATGCTTCAAGCAAGCACACACGCTCGATCCTATGACGAGAATATTATTGGAACTTACTTATGA